GTGGATGCGTACTGCTGAGGAGTCCCATACTAGGAAGAAACGGCCGTTTAGTGCTTCCAGGTTTTCCATGGTGGTGTAGCTTCAATTGACTCATGATTTCAATCTCTGAAATTTCTAAAATCTCCACAAACCCCTTCTGATAAAAAAATGCTAATAACGTGACCAGAAGAGGATTTCTCATGGTTCAAATTGGAATTTGTAAATTACCCTGGTCACTACCAGTATTATCTGTTCTTAGTTGTAGGATGTCTAAAAAATTTAGAATAACGGCACAGAGAACTTAACGGAACATGATCATGACTCTTCTGTGTAACTATAACCTAAATTACACTTCAGTAATATCTCTTCTAATATTTGTGACTAAACCTTCAAACTATGAAAACAAAAAAGCATAGTTTGAGATGGCGAAGAATATATTTATGGTAGAATACCACTCCTTACATTAAATCGCTTTTCGTGTGATTAATAATTGGATTTAAATGATTATAACCTAAAACAAATTTTATGATAAACAAATATTAAAACAGTGAATATTTACCAGATTATCATACATACTGAAATAATGATTGAATTTGCCACAATGTAATTTGTGGGAATTGATGAAAAAAGCTATCAGGATGTTCAAAAAATATAAACATATACTTTTGGTATATAACACATTGGATAAAACTGCTTTTTCACATGCATTATATATTTCATTGACCGTAGTGAAGACTAAAAGAATTCTAAAAGGTCAAGAATAACGTCAACCACCTCCTTTGATGAAAGCATCGAATTGATGCGATCATTTGTTCTCTTCTATCATCATTCCACTATTCAGGCGGTTTTGGAATTTGTAAGTACTGTGTGTTCACCGGATTCTAGTAAAAGATGAAACACTAAAGAAGCTAAAGACTCTGGTTTTTGAGGACTTTAAGAGATACACTAAATGCTGTGCCTCAAATGGAGATTATTTTGAAAGGGGATGAGATATATGGTAGATTTTGTGAAATAAAGTTTTTATGAACTTATTCCGTCTATTTATTGAACTGTCTAGTACATTTTAGTTTTGCAACAATATTAGCATAATACCTATCAGTAAATGAATCAGGTGGGAAGGGAATTAACTATCTCAAGGTCACTCACTCTATTAACAGTATTGTAGCCTATATATATACATATATAAACTAGAACAGTATCCATCACATTTTATCAATACGCAGTGGTTTCCAGAAATCAGGGCAACCACTAGCTTACAGTCTAATTTTTAATTTAGAAACAAAATCGAAAACAAAGGAGATAGCTCACTTTAAAGGTGCACTCAGAATAAATTGTTATTGTAGGTAAAAACTTTTCCATACTGTGTATTATAACAGAAGTTTGATGACCAGTGTTTTAAATGAACTCGAATATTCGTTGAAATACAATAAAGTTTCAAGTGAAGTGATATACTTTACTAGAAGATAGTTTTTATCCTAAACTGATTTAATCTGATAGAATTATCGTAAACTATGGCCGATTGATAGGAATTACTGAGAAGCTGGAAAGTGATACAGAACAGCTATCCGGTTCATCTTAGCTTTTCCATGGTATTCATGTGAATTCGTTTGTGATAAAATCTATCTTGTATTAGAATCGGAATGTAAACATTTTCACCAGACCTCATGGATTCCCATTAGAATTAATGAGAGTATTTTAAAGAAAATAAATGTGTATCTATCAGATATACATACAACACCTTTTGATTAACAAAAATAATACCTTTAATTAAATAGTGTCTCCTGAATGATCCGATTTGTAAATCTTCCTACTTTATAGTTACCTTATTTTCTCAAATTATTGTAATACTACCTTAGTGACTAATTATAAGAAAAGCTACAATATCGACACAAAATAAGCCTAAAAATTTTATGAAAAATCAATCGCAAGGTAATATTCTTTTAACTTTAACTTGTTTTTTGTATTATTATTATTATTATTATTATTATTATTATTATTATTATTATTATTATTAGTAGTAGTAGTAGTAGTAGTAGTAGTAGTAGTAGTAGTAGTAGTAGTAGTAGTAGTAGTAGTAGTAGTAGTAGTAGTAGTAGTAGTAGTAGTAGAAGTAGTAGTAGTAGTAGTAATGGTAGTAGTAATAGTGGTAGTAGTATTGTTATTCATTATTATGAAATCGTAATACATGTAACACTAGATCTTAGGACATTGATGTTGAATAGTGACTAAGTCAACTTGTAAACTATAGAAATCAATTATTTTCAAGGATACTGACTTTTTAGCCAATTCCTATAACACCAGATTACTTCCATACTATAGCTCCAACAACAGAGAAAAAAGAGCGAAATATGAGTAAGTGTTGTAATGCAAGGCTAGTTTATGTACAAAAAATCGAGTGTATTTATGGGGTTTTATGAGACTTCAGTTCTCAGAACTTTCTAAAAACATTCCAAGTATAATAACTGCATAGGTAATCATCTAATAAAAAGGTGGCAAGCAGTCTTTCATTATCCTAGATATTCCTTAGAAACTTCTATTCTATGTTGACTGAATAGAAAATATTCTGTAGTTTCCTTGACTTCTGGAGATTTTAGAGGGATATTTTGGGACTCCCCAAATATTCTGGTTTACTTCCTGATATAAAATGTATTACTATTATATGTGATTGACCTCAGAATTCAATAATTATCATCAAAAGCTATAGTTTTAATGTCCTAATCGTTACCTACAAATGTAAACGCACTCATTATCTTCATAAAGAAGAGTTGTTAACTTTGCCAATATAGTATAATTTAATATTACCTTTCAAGAGGTGTTATGCCATTAGTTGAATAACTGCTCTTCATATCCAAGGTCGCATAATATTACTAACAGTTATTACTTACTTACGCCTGTTACTCCTAATGAAACATAGGCCGCCGACCAGCATTCTCCAACCCACTCTGTCATGGGCCTTCTTTTCTAGTTCCATCCAATTCTTGTTCATTTTTCTCATGTCTATTTCCATTTCTCGGCGTAATGTGTTCTTTGGTCTTCCTCTTTTCCCTTAGCCTTGAGGATTCCATGTGAGGGATTGTCTTGTAACGCAGTTGGGTGCTTTCCTCAATGTGTGTCCCATCCACTTCCAGCGCTTCTTCCTGATTTCTTCCTCCACTGGGATCTGGTTTGTTCTTTCCCACAGTACGTTGTTGCTAATAGTGTCCGGCCAATGGATCTGAAGTATTTTGCGTAGACAACTTTTAATGAACACCTGTATTTTCTGGATGATGGCTTTCGTAGTTCTCCAGGTTTCCGTCCATCAGTAGTTACCATTATCTAAGCAATAAGTTGATGCAGGTATACAATTTATAAAATCAACAGGTTAGCTACTTTAGTTAACATATATAACTAACTTACTGAGTTATATATATTGTACTTCTTCCTAAAGATTCGTTACTAAAATGAAAAAAAACGAATACAATGCATTGTAATTATTTAGTATCAAATCAGACAATATGCTCTTCTATAAGTTTACGTACAATATTTCTTTTATCTTAAAGACTTGGATATTCATTAAGTCAACTTTCAAAAGCTGAGTAACTAAAATTCTACCTCTCTCTACCCAAGATACCTATTTGTATAAAGCTGGTTATTAGAATTTATTTTAAGATGAATTTGATAGACAATGATTAAAACACCTACTTTTTATTACGATTGTTTTGTTTTTTTCCAGTAATCCAAGTATAAACATTAGAATACACTTTGATAATGATGGTTAACTAACATGCCCAATATTTTCTACTGATCACTATCGATTGACTATGTAATGTCAAAATATGATAAATGTGATGTTGAGTTGTATAGACTAGTAACCAGAACACAATTGGATTCATAGAATTTGATCATTATTAAAAATGATCAAATAAATTTAATATTGATTACTATTCACTGCTCAATCATTAAAGAAACATACTGTACATGATTGACTTTTAAATAACCTGTTTACAAGCTGTTATGTAATTTTATTTAATCACGTAAGCTTTGAATTATCATTAGTTATCTTTATAAGTTTACAACAACAAAAATTGTAATGAGAGTCATCATATAATTTATGTAGTTTATATCGCTTACAGTAAATCGAACAACAATGTTATTTTATTTGGTATTGTTTTGCTTGTATCTTCCCATTAATGTTTAAGACTGCAATTGATCAGTCTGTCATTGGCATATGTGCATACTGTGCGTATGCCTCGATATTACCTTAATTCACAAGCTATTTGTAAGCAATGATGGATAATGCCTAGCAGTGGAATTCAGGACGCACCTTTCATCCTATTTGGGACTCGTCACCTGCATCTCAGAGAGTTGATGTTCACTCTGGGACTCGAACCCAGTACCATTCGCTTCAAACGCCATCGCCTTATCCACTCAGCTACTGAGTCCTGATAGCCACTTGCTTGTTTGTATCTTCCCATTGAGGTTTAAGACTGCAATTGATCAGTCTGTTATTGGCATATGTGCATACTGTGCGTATGCCTCGATATTACCTTAATTCACAAGCTATTTGTAAGCAATGATTGATAGTTTATGCTGATTTTCAATATTTAAAAAAGAAATTTCCCTTTAAACAGATCAATAAATGGTAAAACATTGGTCACGAGTACTTTTATTTTCATTGTGATCAGTTCACGTGATGAACAAACGGGTAAAGCACTAGACTATAACTTGCAACAATTCGTAAATGCCGATAAGTTTACAACTAGAAACTATTCCATTTAAATTTAGTAATTTACTTATAATAAGCTGATGATTAAGATTATCCTCAATCTCCTCATGTTCAACTCGTGTGTTGTATTCATCACTTTTTGGTTATTTCCAGTTCTCTCAGTGAATAATTTTTATAATATTAAACTGTAATTTTAATAATTTCATTTCGAACTGCACTACATTGGATGTGTTCATAACACATAGTTGAGGTTTATTCCAATTCTAAAATGTCATAAAATGATTAGATAAGAAATACTTAGTAAAATTATATTAGTTGATTCATCATTAGAGAGTAACTATTCCCGTTTCATTATTTTCTTTTCTCTATCTTTTAATAACAATCAGGATGACAACTTCCTGAGATCTGCACAGAAATATTTCATGGAGGCATTGGTGAGATGATAATTAATTAGACCGCCAATAAGAACTATAAAGCTCTATACATCTGTCTCATCCTAGTATGGGATCCTTTAGCAATATGGATCTACTACCCCACTACAATGAGTCAAATTCAAAATTTTCAGTCTCGCATAAAAGTGTCTCACTTCTATATCACTGAGCTTGCATCCAATGGTGTACACGTTTAACTTCATTCAATTCGCTGTAATGGACGACCATCTTGCATTCCCTGGAGTAGATAACTGTCTGATACTCAATACACTTAGGCTTCATTAGTCATAGCTTCTCGCTAGAACTCCGTGAATCACATCTTTAAGGAAATCACTAATGAGCAGATGACTATTGTCAGTGTATGGTTTTGTGGAGATAGTGGTGAATCGTTCCAATATGCAATACAGTTCTGTACTAAATTACTCTCAGTTAGAAACTAGGATGATTCTATACCTCTTATATCGTTGGTGAGTACTTAGTACATGTAACTTAATTTCAGGGTTTTCTGCTGATTACTATCGGTAACGTAACATCGGAACTTATTGTTCGAAGACCAAGACAGTTCCTCACAAAGTTGTCAAAAATCCAAGAAAATACTGAAAATATCTTGTCCAATCAGAGTTCTCTGGAAACTTGCAGGGGAAGAATTAGGTTTTTATTATTTATGCTAGAAAACTACCGACATTTTTACCAATTTTAGCACATTATTCAGGAGCTTCTCGAATCAAATGGTCACATATAATCCTATAAATACCTTTCCTTTTTTTATGCACAAACTAAGTAATGCTTCTTCCGTACTTCCCGTCTTTTGTTTTCTTTTTACTGTTCAAGAGTAGGAGATTTCTTAGGAATAATAAGCGGTTAAGAAGTCAGTGAATTAACGTTCACATACAAGAACTATTACTTAGTGAATGCGGCGTCTCATCATCTAGATCAGTGTATAGCAACTCACGCGCAATTGAGTTGTTTCACATTTAATTCGGTTAAGTCATTTTGTTAACTTATTAACGAACTGAGTCATCCATACAATACCAACTTATCTATATCATTGTATATTTATTATTGTTGCGAATGTATGAACATGTATTCTTGAGCATTGCCTACTGCCTATGCATTTATTCACGCTGCTAGCCTTGCTACTAACCGTTTAATTGATTCGATGATTCATTCATTTCACTATGTATATATATGTTCATGTTATTCATGTTCATTGCTTTCTCTATCGCTTAATTGTACTCGCTTACTCGTACTCATATTCGCTGACTCACTCGCTCGCTCTCTTGCCTGCTTGCCTTTCGGCACAATTCTTTCATGCTTGTTTGACGCACCTGTAATTTTGGATATCTGTGTGTGGTCCCATAATAAACATAATCAACACTTCGTATTCGCCTTCTGATTAATATACCGTTGGGGCGTTATCTAGTGACGGTTATCAAGACGAACTGTATACGAAGTTTAAGGATTATATGGAATACCGACCACCACAAGTGATTAGAATGCAACATTATGAATAGAATTCTATTAGCCCTAACTAATCGACAAAATGACACTGGTCAGTATTCAGAGATCAGTCAATGTATATATATAATCTTTCATTACGATTTGATCAACGTACTATAAAACACTGTTTATTGAATTTTAGATTGAATTAACTCTTAAAAAACCTACTTTATCAGAACTTACTCATTATTACCGTTTGAATCGTTTAATTCAAGTGATTAATGAAACTTATCATTTCTATGAACATTTAATTAATCAATTAAAATGGTTACATACAATGATTAAAGATGAAAGTAATAAAATGAATTTTATCATTGGAAGTATATTAAAATATAGAAATCAAAATAGTAATGGAATACCAGTTGTATACTACATATTCAAGGTAATCGAAGTCATATTTATTGATTTGGGCTTTTTCATATTTACTAATTATTCCGATAATATTCATTGATATCTATTGAATTTTTTGTGGAGGCCCGTAATTTTGTCGTTGATTAGATCGAACGATGTTGTCGAAAGAGCTCTTCACTTTAGTGGCCTGTGATCCGACTCCAAGGAGATTGTAATGATGATTGTTGTTGAAATATATATATATATATATATATATATATATATATATATATATATATATATATATCGCCCATTCTCGTATATAATCATCGACTTAAATCACGTTAGTCAATAACGGAATTAAATAAGTCAAATAACGAGAATGGACTTTTGAATACATATATTTTGTATATGAAGCGAATGGAATAGAGAGAAGAGAAACGACTCAGAGTGGAGATGGCTGGTAAGCCAACTCCCATTTAACCAAGCGTTGATCAATATTTATAGCCACACAAAAATAAGTTACAGACATGTGATGAATGGGATTAGAAAGGCACGCACATATGCGCTCATATAAACACAGTCAAGATTGATAAGCGAATAAATAACAAGGTCAGAATGTGACTCAAATACAATGAATGCAATGGTCTGTCCAAAACCTAGAATAAGGTATATGAGCTTAACATAATAACTGAAACTACAAATTATTCGTAAAAACAGTTTATGAAGTATTTAGTTAATTGGAAGATATATTATAAACTGTCATCTACTGAAGAATCAATAAAAATCCGGAGTTTCTGACTGATTATTCAGTAAAATGATGAATTTTACAGACAGGAAAAGTATTCATGATCGTATACACAATCAAATGTGTGATATTCTCACCTCATACACCAAGCATTATACATACAAAACACAAAAACTATAATGGGATTTTATTAGGAGGTTTGTGAAGATTGTATTATAACTCTCGGTTTTCATTGTTTACACGAATGGAAAGTTAATTTGCCTTAGATGAGTATCTACACTAGATACCCTTAAGTGTCTATTCTACAAGACATCAAGACAACACAAATCAAGGACACATGATTAGCCTAACTAAGTATATATCTGCACCAAAAACCAATAACAATCACAATAATAATAAGGGTAAGAGAATATATAACACATCTAGTACCTATCAGACTATCTACAAGTCTGACTAAGCAAACAACCAATCATTATCATTCTAGCCCACACATCAGATTGATAACCTCTGAGAAGTTCCATACCAGGATGAAACTTTTGTTCAGTGTTGCCTATTTCTTCAAAATACTTCTTCAACTGATGTCAATCTGTGAGGAAATCTAAATTCCACTTCAATTGATTTTCATAAATTATATCTATCAAACAGAAATCGTACGCTCACTAGTGACTAGTTTCAAGATTTTTAAATTTTTATCAAAAGATCATGACTGGGGAATTTCGGCCATGACTGATGTAAAACAGTTACCCAATAACGTTGTTGAGTGACTGTATTCCATATAGATAGTTGGTTGGAGTTATAGAAGTATACGACTGTACATCAACTCAATAGTCTAAAGGTAACGGGCTCACTGTGAAGCTTGAATGTCCTGAGATAGTGACTGTGAATTTCTGAAAATTCCTTTGCATTATAGCGCTCGCTAGTCTGTATCCCTTTAATCAATAGCCAGAGTGGAAACGCATCAGTCGAGATCTTAATTTATTCTTCTCGATCCCTAGTACGTTAGTCCATCTATCGATTGATTACTTAACTTGGCCACTGAGACGCTAAGTCTAGTACGAATAACCTTGAGGACTGGTGAGATAATCTTGATTCTTCTGATGCCAGTTTTGAGTCCAGATATTAAAATACAGTAGGTAAAGCTTGTAATAACATAATTCAAACACACACGCGTCTATTTACAGATGTCAAGGTACGCATCACCCCACAAAATAAAAGTCGCCGTTTATATATAAACGAGCTAAAAAGTGGCAATGAACAGATCAAGTCGTGAAAAATTGACTAACCATGATTTAGGAATAAAAAAAGTGTAGCAGCAATCATTATCTTTAATGAGAGCTTACGATAACAGGAATGGAGAACTATAATAGTTTAGTTGTACGATGGAAATATGGATAATAACTATCCGCAAGATACTCCTGCATCTCAGAGTTGACGTTCACTCTGGGACTCGAACTCAGTACCGTTCGCTTCAAACGCCATCGCGTTATCCACTTAACTGATCAATTTCAGTCCTAAAACATCAATGGGAAGATTCAAGTAAAACAATATCAAATGAACTAAACTTCACCCCATTGCACAAGCAAGTGGCTATCAGGACTCAGTAGCTATGTGGATAACGCGATGACGTTTGAAGCGAACGGTACTGAGTTCGAGTCCCAGAGTGAACATCAACTCTGAGATGCAGGTACACCTAGCTGACGAGTCCCAAGTAGGACGAAACGTGCTTCCTGGATTTCACTGCTAGCCACTATCCATCTTTGCTTATAATATCCGTAAGATATTCCAAAAAGTTCCGATGTGTTCAGTACTAGTCCTTTTTTATGAGTCTAGTCACCTTAAGCTTCCTAAAGGACTGATACACTGACACGTGAACTGGAGTATAATAGATCTCTTCTGGTTCATTAGAGCTTTATTGTATTTTGAACCTGATACTTAATTAACTGCATATTCTACTTTGTGATAATGCAGTATTATTGAGATTTCATGCGAATTTAAGGAGGATATTGTCTATGAGTCATCAGGAACACCAGATTGAACAGCAGTAACGGGTTTTATAGGATTACTAGTGAGATTTTAGTAAAACCACCGCAACATAGGAAATAAAACTGAAAAGAAGTGGTAAATTAGGGCAAAAATCATTTGCAAATCATACAAGAAATGAATAAAGGCAATCATTTAATGTTCAAGCATAGAATATATTTGTTAGCTATCATAATCAATATTTACTTCCAAGTTACGGACGATTATATACAACAATTCTTCAAGAAATCCATATATTTTACCTAATATTCTAAAAAAAGTGTTTTAGAGCTATTTGGAAGGTAATTTGTAGTTAAACTACCAAATAGTTGAACCAATAATTAGTATTCAGTCAGGAAAATGACTTTATTCTTTTTGAAGTCGATTTACTATTCTTACGTAATAATGTCAGTGATCACACCAGACACTAGGCTGATTACCTGTGTTGGCACTAATTGATGAAAATAATATGAAATGAGTAATTGCTCCCCAATGATAAAAAGACGATTGTATCTCCTAAATGATTATTTATCTTATGACTGTTCTATGTTACACTGTCTTATATATGCGCCAACATGTGATCTCTCTTTTGAGTTATGCATTACTTTCATATTATTTTACTGAATGGAAATAATAGTCAACGACCTATCAATTCATTATTCCGTTATGAATTTAAAAGAATCCCTAGTTGTGAACTTACTGAGATTTATGAATTATTGTACAATGTGACCGAACATTTTATTTGTATATTCATCACGCGAAATATGCATGATAATGATAAAAGTATTTATGACCACTGATTTAACCATTTATTGTTCCAATTTATTTATATTGGTTGTTTAAATCTACCCATTGATGTTTAAGATTGTAATTGTTCAGTCAATTTTTGGTAATATGTGCATCCTGTGCGGATTGTTTCGATATCTTCATTAAGTTATAAGCATTGTAAGTAGGAATGAATAGTGGCTTGCAGTGGAATACTGGATGCGAGTTTCATCCTGTTTAGAGTGGTTTTAGTAAACTGAGAATTATTATGGTCAATTAACTCGATGAAAACATAAAATTGCAGAACTGATAGATTTATTATTAATGACAAAGAGAAAATAATATTTAGAGTCGATGGATAACGCCAGACAGGTAGTGCCATGCAAAACGTGTATTCTGTTCTATTTAGGACCTCTTAGGTTAATGTAAATTTATCACAGGGTTATTCACTGAGTTGCTGAGTTTATATGTGTATCAACTGGTGTTTATATCATTAATAGTAAGAGTTTCAATCACAGTGTTGTTGATATTCAGAACTGAATTTTGATACCTGTACTCTATATGTAATGGGCTTTTCGTCTTATTTGTGATTCGTCAGTTGAGTCTACATGTATTTCAATGCTTGTTTTCACACTGGAACTCTTAGCTTTTATAATCTGATAAGATGATACTCTTATCATGCGAATCATTCGTTTACTGCAAAGGTTCGAAATCAAACGAAACAATTGTTCTAATTAATTAATATGAATTTCTCACTAAGAAAAAACACTCTCAAGTTTGGTTAATATATAAAAACTTTCGCCTAAATTGGATCGAATGGTTTCACGGTATTTGGGCATCGAGTTGATGTGAGACACTAAAGAGGAAGAATGTATTTGTAGAATCTCAGAGAATGAATATCTTTTTTTATTCATTATTTATTCTAATTTAACAATAGATATCCAACATAATGGTTGAAATATGTGAATCAAGAAAATCATGCATATCAAATATTATAAACAATCGAATGGTTGTTGAATATAATGATAATAATAACTTGATGAATTCAACTATTGATTTGGAAATATTTATATCGGAATTACATGTTTTAATGGATTATTTCTTTGAGTATTTATGTTATTTCATGGTGAATTTACGTAATCAAATTTCAGCAAATGAAAATTTCATTCGTTCTTTTACTTCAACTTCTTTTACAATGTCAATGAAATCATCCAACGTATCATCATCGTCGTCGTCGTCGTCATCAGCATCATCGTCATCAAGAATGACATGTCCAGTGATTACATCAAATTCTATATCGAAATTGATTGATGATCTAATAGATATTGAATCTCATATGCCTATGAAATATAATGAACAATATACTGAAGCACAAAAACGTTTATCAATAAGAATCAATCTACAAGTTAATAAAAATAAGGAATGAATAAGTCCGATTATTTTCTAAAAACCTACATTTAATAATAATGATATGTCTTAGAAACAGTTGTATAATGTATTCTGTTCTTTTTAATATTCTCCTGTATATATATTCTAGCTATTAAAATAATGTTGAAGTTGGTAAAAACAATCTTGTGTAAAACCAAAGTGTAACATTGTATTGGGGGTGGGGCTGACTCGAAAGTAATTAAGAAGATTTGTAACTCAGGAGGATATTTTCAGAGGTTGTAAAACAATTCCCATATATATACGGATTCTATGTAACGAAATTTCTTTATTTCTCTTTGTAAGTAATACTTTGTCTATAACCCTTCTGTACATTCATACTTTATGATTTGTTTGAAGTTAACATTTGATTGAAACTAGTCAAAAGGTTGACATCAAATCAGCATTTGTAATGTTATTCAAAAGCCTTCACGGACGTATACTAAGGTTTATTGAAGCCTTGACTATACGGAAATTGAAACCACCTTTATATGTCCAAAAACAGTTTGTCCTAACACTTAACCTACCCTGGTAATACTGATTTATTATCCAGACTGTTAATCACATTGTTTTTGTGTACTATATTATTATTATTTCTTACCTTTAACCTGTCTAGTTGACCTTTTGATTTTCATATAAAAATGTCTTAACAAGTATGTAATGTGTGATCAGATTGTTCGAAATGTATTGCACAAATATATCACATAATTCTGATACACTACGTCTTCTCATTGCATTATCAAAATGAAACCAACATGGTATTAAAGTAGTGACAGGTTCTGAAACTGACTAAAACTCATCTGTGTTGTGAACTTTTTTTGGTTAAAATAACTTTACTTAGAAGCGGTTGAGATATTGAATCACTTTGTTTATATTTCGACTGTGTGAACTGATTGATTTTGTTCTATATTACTGAAATGTAAGCACATTTCTTGTTTGTTCTTTTTTTTATTAGAATATTTGCTGTTGATAGCAATTGATTAGTCATATTTGTAGCAAAATGAACTATTCCATCCTTTTACTTGTTGCCTTGACTGATAGAAATATTTTTCCTATTGTGATAATTGGGTTTGTTGTAACGTGTGGATTGCACGTTAGATGGAGCAGCGTTTTATTGATCGATTCAGTGACACGTAAAACACGTTCGGACGACCTAGAATTCCGATTGGCACTGCTTCGCTGTCTAACTCAGCCAGTTGAGTCCAGAACACAAGTCTCAGCCTCGGATATATGAATCGTTATATTTCAAACATACTCTGTTTATATACCAAACAAACAGACCACATCGTACCACAAAAATAGAAAACAACATCTGTACAATATTTAACGAGTGAAATAAATAATGGCCAATAGGGAATGTCCATTTAAAGTTCAAGGACATCATTAGATTTAACATGATAATGGTTGGTATATTCCTCTGTATCCCTAACAGGGTTCTACCAAATGTCTGTACTCATTGAAACAACGTATTGTTCAGTAACTCTTTTATACATTCTTGTACGTTTTGTCAAGGAAGTTATTAGCTATGATCGTCCTTTTGGACAATTTGAACTAAAAAGGGAGTCACTGAAAAAACAGCGCCACAGATAAACTGGAGTTCCTCGAATTCTAGATTGAATAGAGGTATCATATTAAGTACTTTTTTCATTTTATCAAAAATTCTCACAGAATATAATCTGGGAGACAAGATTACTTGACCAACTGATTGGTTACGTGCATATATACATACATACTAGGGAATTTTAACAATCGTTTCTGTACATTATATTCAATGAAAATAGTATGATTATGAGTTACTGATCAATCATCAAAATAAATGGTTAAAAGTAAAGATTCATATCACAAAGTGATCAGCAATTTCTCACTCTTATCCGTTATAAGCTATAATAAATATATAAACTGTAAATTGAAAGGGATTATAAGAGAAGGGGTCCAAACGAACTAGACAAATCATATCAATATTACTCAATGACACTTCGGTCCACACACGAATAAATGAAAGAGAGAAGACTGAGTTTTAGGAGAGTTTTAATATTCCCGGCAAAAGTCAATTTCGAATACAATAGTTTTGTTTACAGGGTAAGGATGATAACCTTGGGAACATATAGCAAAATAACAAACCGTAAGAAAACACTATCAATCAGATCATTTGTAGAAAAGGTCAGCGTACTAATATAAATTAGGAGTTGCCGAGGTCCTGATATAATTTTTTAACGAAATTAAAAAAAACTAGATGATCGAGGCCTTTCTAACAGAGAGTGAGAAAAAAGTTATTCAACATCACTTGATATTTAATAGGCTATTGGATTATGTGAAATTATTTTGAAACAATACATTTAACTTTCAACAATACGCACTCTTATTCATGCTTTTAATGAGGTGTTACCCATAATAGTAGTTTTGAGTTTAAGAAAGGTAGTGTGCTCATTTCTAGCACCAAAGCTGTTGGATACTTAAAACCTGGAATTTTTCTCGGTTATTTTAAGTGTTAGCGTGTAAGTGTATCTAAAATATCTCAACAGTTATTCACTCAATGCGACTTACGGAACTTTTCGAATTTCCAAAGATTTAACATAGGTCGAATCCGTGAATCGATTTAAGCTAGAATACCATTGAAAAGTTGGAAGCGCTGGACAGCCGTTTCGTCCTAGCGCGGGACTCCTCAGCAGTGAGCATCCAACTATTAAAATTACTGCAATCTCCACGAACCCCCATTCTGATAATAATCATCATGTACTCACTAGTTACTGGCTTCAAGGTGGGTTTCTACTGAGGAGCTGTGACCAGTGGAGTTCAGCCATGTTTGTTGTGAGGTAGTTACTCACTGAAAACAATGGTAGACGGTCGCGCAATATCGTGGATTGTTTGAGGTTAGACATTAACACTCTTGAATACCGGCTCAATGGTCTGGAGGTTAAGCGTTTGCGCACGACATTGAAGGTCCTGGACTCGAGTCTCGCGTGCAGGATAGTGGATGCGCACTACTGAAGAGTCTGGCACTAGAAGGTAATCGGTCTTCAAGTGCTTCCAGCTTTTCAGTGGTAATCCAGCTTAAATCAACTCATGAATTCAAATATTAAAATTACTACAATCTTCATAAATCCTCATTCTGATTTAATATAAGATTTTTATTTGGTTTTGTGATTTTATTCAACTTTCACATAATTTCGACAACTTTCGTCTTCTTATTGGATTATTCAAACCAATATAATTTAGAGAACTATTTCAAAGTAATAATCACCAAAAGGCACTTTCTTCAACAGTGTATACTCCTGACCTGAGGCAATTAATCTTCGTTACAAAATACAACACTAATTCATTATTCAGTTAATATTTAATCGTTCTTTCTTTTTCTTTTTTCAAATTTAGCGAATTTTCAGTATAACTTAATGTTAATCATCTATCATTTACGGTTATCTGATTTACCCTCATCTTGTTATCCACAATTCTATTTGAAATAGTGAGTATATATGATTAAAATGTTTGAGATTGAAATGAATACAGTGGTCTTGAGTGCTGTTAGAAGTATAAAGGTGGTTATTACTTCCCGGTTGCCCACACCGTGGAAGGGTTGTTCTGGAGGTACCTGAAAAGGAAATTGGATTAGAGGTGGTCTTAGTGACATGGGAGCGTGACCGCAGTGCCCAAGGGACAACTTCTCGAGGTCGGTCACACACGACCTTTTTATGGGTAATTTTTGTGTTAGCTCCGTACCTTTTGGGACCTTACCTCCGGAGACGGATATCCGTGGGATAAGGTGAGGTGTGCATTTTTAGGGTCGACCTTTTCTAACCCCAGCCCTCCTTGTGGGAAGGTAGCATCGCTGTCATGCTGGTTGTCTGAAGGAAACACCTTACTACTGTCACACCTCTGTACAGTCAGCAGTACGACTTCGCCTTCGGACCTTGGGTTTGTTGCTTTTAGTCTTACCGCTCATCAACCGACTTTTCTGACATGGTAGGACCTTGAGGAACAGTTGTTCCAGGCAGTATCGCTCGGTTGCTTCATCACGATGAGCAAGTCCGACCACCATGTCAAGGTCGCAACAACGGTTGGGAGATTGAAATGAAATAGCTACTTAGTTTTCCTTGAGATTCATGAGTTTTTTAAATATCAGATATTATGATTTCATAAAACAAGTATATATTGATTGTTAAAGAATCGGGATCAAACATGAAAAAGTTCAATAGCAACTGTAAACAACTGGATAGGATTGCCCAGGACAGAGTTGGATGGAAAATTTTGTTAAGCGGTCTATTCTCTTCCATGAGGGGTAACAGTCATAAGTAAAATTTCATATGTTAATTCACATTAAAATTATCTGAAGTCAGTAAGCTAAATAATCAGTTTAGTCGTTCATATCATAAAAAAATAGGTCAAAGGTCATTAGATTTGATCCATCTTGCTTCGGAGCATAATTTTTTAATTTAAGCTATGAATTGTACTAATATAAGCTTAGAAATAATTGGATTTGTGGATTCTATGACTGATAGAAACATAAGTATGCACGTGAAGTGATTTACAAAGCTTATCAGTATATCAGTTCGTGAACATTAATTGATTTTAATGACATAGATAGCTTTGCAGTGATATTTGTAACTGTGATATTGATTAGGCTTCATAAGTAATTACAAGTGCATCATACTGACGAGTTCCTGTTGATGTGTTCAAGTTGTTTGACAAACGACACAAAATGTCCTGTCACGTATACTCATTTTGATTAATTGCTTGAAGTCACTAACTTCTAGTCTGAGCCATGTTGGTAGATGCAGACTACTTGGTTGGGGTCCGAGTGACTATCGTAAACAATGGTTGGAGACTCTTGGTGACATGGCTCAGAATCGATCACAATGGCGTCGGTTTATACACTCTCTGTCTTTCCTTAAACTAGGAGATTAACATCGCTTCTTATATTTCTTTCTAGGAACTAATTCTTTGTTTCTGTACTATATCCTTATATGCAATCTTTCTTCTATATATTACTACCATTGACATAACTAGTTCTATGAATCCGGTGTTCATCTTAATGTGTAAATGAGGTATGGCAACTTGGACCGATGCATATATGTGCCTGGTCCTACGTTGTAGCTGACTGACTGAATTGCCGAATCGTTTGGTTGTTGTGGTTTGATCAATACTTGGATCTGAGGGTTGGGTTTGAAGACTGATGTTCCAAAATTTGTTTATATGCATAAATTGTTATCCAAGCTTTATCGCGTGTCATTTACATTTCTGTCATTCAATTTCATATCTGTACATGTCCTTTCTGCGTAATTCAGCCCTGGTTTCTTATCTAATTTACACTATTTCCTCAAAAATAACTTTTATCTAAATGTCACCCAGACTTAAATAATTATTCAAGTCTCCGTTTTCTAAATGTGTCAATAACCAGATTAGGATACTTAGTTAGACATGTATGTAAATGCCTTATAAATATATATGAATATGTCGAAGTAACATGCACTGTAAAAATGGTTTTCACTGGTATCACATAGTTGTCTATAGCTACTATTATTCCTATTAGTGTTAATACCGCTTTTTTGAAATATTAGAATTGATACGGCTTACTTTCGAACTTAATCCTGTCGTCCCTACTGGGGCTCAGACCACCGACCAGGATTCTCCAATGAACTTTGTCCTGAGATCCTCTTTCTAGTCTCTAATATCTGCCTCCACGTCCCC